TGGATTTGATTCGAGCTTTGTATGGGATATCAAGGAAAGAGTGTTCAAAGATAAAACAGTCGAATTATATTTGGTGCAATAATTGATTGTTTTGAAAGTGTTTCGAAACAGGTAGATCGAGGATTATAGAGATCGGTTCTTGTTTCGAGAGTTGGATACTAAGTCGTGGGTGTTAAGATTTTTTTTTTTTTGGATTTGATTCGAGCTTTGTATGGGATATCAAGGAAAGAGTGTTCAAAGATAAAACAGTCGAATTATATTTGGTGAAATAATTGATTGTTTTGAAAGTGTTTCGATCGAGGATTATTAGAGATTTGAGATCGGTTATTATTTCAAATGTTTGAGATTGATAGATCGAAGAATGAATTTCACAGGTGGAAATATTTCCAAATGTTCGTGGACGATCAATATTTGAAAAGGATTAATTTTATTTTCCACGCCAATCGATCCACGTTATGCAAATGAATTTTCCATCGGCGAAAGTGCTGTTTTCCGCTAGCTTTGCCACGCGGAAAATCTCGATAAAAACTATCTAGAGAAAATGAAAAAAAAAAGATGAAATAAAATAAAATAAAAGAAGCGAATCACAGTCTCGCACGCGTGTTCTTCTTCCCGCTTCCTTCCCGGCCAAACAATTAACACAGGCATCCATATTTATACGAGGGGTAATTTTTCATTTTCATACTCGGCTCGATTTTTATCACCGCTTATACCTTAATGAATATTCATAATATTCCGGATGTGTCCTACGGGCTGTGAAGAAACGAGGATACCGCTCGTTTAATATTTATTCGCATTAAACGCGCGCCACTTCTCGATCGAGAACCGGTTATGATTCGTTGATTAAATTTGTAAAAAATACAGACAGATCATGGTAAACTCGTTTACCAAATTTTTCTACTCCTTCTTACCAACGATTTCAACAATTATCGCTACACTTATATCTCTAATCTTTCTTTTTTTTTTCCTCATATAAAATACACATACGTTATAAGATTGAAATATTATTATTCTCTCGTACATCAAAAGAAACGAATAATAATCATCCGCCTAATTTTAACGAATCTAATTCAAAAGTCTATTTTCCGCTCGCGAGATCAAAAATATCAACATTTTAGCACCCCAACTTACGATTACACTTTACTAATAATAAAGAAACACGATGTTTCGAAAACTGGAAAACTCCGTGAAACTCTCTCTTTCAGGGATCGAAACGGCAAGAACGATCTGCTTATCCAACCAGCCCAATTCCCCTAATCCCTAAAATTCCCTAGAACCTAGATTCAACGATGTGGGGCAAAGTTGCGCGCCACCTTTCCACGGCTGGGTAAACCCTCGTTCGAAGCAACGCTTAGCTTTATTCGTAATTTTGAAACATTCGTTGGAAACGGTTCGTTTGCCACCGATATACACTCGGGAGAGCTCGAGTCGCGAAATTCACCGCGAGGCCGGTGCCGTTGCATTGTGCAACATTAAGAGGGGCAGGAGAGGGGTTCTAGATGGAGAGGACGGGGAGAATTGGGCGTGTTCCCCACACCAACACGCGGTGTACGCGTTGTTCGAGCAACGCTTGCTCGCAAAAGTGTATCAACGTTTCCGTGGCACGCATTTCAACCGCAAGCGACCCGCACTTTGGAATAAGGGGGATGCACGCGTGAAATTTGCACGTAAACAGGAAGGCCGCGCGCTTTGCCAGCCTTCTCCTTTCCCCCTCCCCTTGCTTTTCTTGCACGAGGAGGCGAGTTAAGAAACGTGGCGGGGAACAGGGAAATTGCGGGCAACGAGGATCAAACGAGGAATGGAAATTCAGAATGAGAAAGGAGGGAGGCTGTTCTCGGGCGAGGAGGATTATTGCTCGTTGAAACGTTGCTGGGGAAAAGCGTTCGACACCGCGAATTTTTATGTATCGATCGAGAAATTAACGGGCTGTGAATATTTACAGGGAGGAAGAGGAGTGAAAAGTGTCTTTTGTTTCCTTGGTATTCCTAGGTATAAGAATATACTCGTTTGGAAGAATGTAAATAAGTGATTCTATTAAAATTCTAAGATAGAAAAAATATTCGTATAGGGAAAACCGAGGAAACTAAACAAATCGAAAATTATACATTCATTCTCTATCATCGAAAAATAAATGAATAAATAAATAAACGGAAAAGATGAAAAGATTACAAACATTACTATTACATTTCAAAATACGTTGGGCAAAAAGAGGAGAGGAAGAGAGAGAGAAAAAAAATTCAATGATCACTCACCAAAACTTTCACCATGTATATCCTCCAGCTCTAAAGTCCAGCCCACTCGAACGGGCAGCCGGGGCAGCAGTTTAAAATTCCCACTGCAACGCGCCGTAAGCTTTCCGGCTGAAAGAGAGAGAAAAAAAAAGATCAGTTCCACTTTTTTTTCATTCTCCCTTTTTTTCTATCCCTTTCTTCCTTTCTTTTTTTCTTTCTTTCTTTCTTTCTTTCTTCCTTCTTCCTTCTTCTTTTTTTTTTTTCTTTCACTCTCCGATTCGTCGGTAACACCGGTTAATGGGAAACCGTCTGGTTGTGTTTGTCCGGGCAAATATTTTCGAACAACAGGGGGATGAAAGGGACAGGGTGGCCTACACACAGCCCCCGCTATTTACCATCGCGGAACCGGTTCGAAAATTGGGTTATATAAATATCCTTCGGAGGTGTCGAGACACCCCCGGGTGGTGAAACTTCAACGAGGAGAAACCAGGTCTCGCCTTTCTTTCTTTCCCTCCTCCTCTTCCCTTTTCTTTTTCTATCCTCCCTCTCTCTCTCTCTCTCTCTCTCTCTCTCTCTCTCTCTCTCT